TGTTGGCTCACTGCAACCTCCCCCTCCCAGGTTCAAGTGATTCTCCTACCTCACCCACTCAATTAGCTGGAATTACAGGCGTGCACCACCATGCCTGGCTAATTTTTGTATTTTTAGTAGAGATGGGGTTTCACCATGTCGGTCAGGCTGGTCTCAAACTCCTGACCTCAGGTGATCCAAATGCCTTGGCCTCCCAAAGTGCTGGGATTACAGGCTTGAGCCACCTCACCCAGCTTAATTAAATAAATTTGTAAGCACAAGAATCATAGTAAATTAAATATCCAAACTCTGCATTATAAAATTTTACATATAAGACTATTTTAAATCAAAAGTTGGAGGGAAAATACAAAAAAGCAAAGGTCCAGCCAGGCATGCTGGCGTGTGCCTGTAGTCTCACAGTTACTCAGGAGGCTGAGGTGGGAGGATCACTGGATCCCAGGAGGTAGGGGCTGCAGTGGGCTATGGTCATGCCACTGCACTCCAGCCTAGGTGACAGACCGAGACCCTGCCTGGGGAGAAAAAGAGCCATCTAACATGTAAATTCAATCATAGAATGTTGCCAATATTAACCGAAGTTACCAGGCCATAGTATTCAGTATAACTTTTAGGGAAATTCCCGTTAAAATTAGGTTCTCTTCCTTTTTGGGAGGCGGGGTGGAGGGTCTCACTTTGTCTCCCAGGCTGGAGTGCAGTGGCAGAACCACGGCTCACTGTAGCCTCAAGCTCCCAGGCTCAAGTAGCCCTCTTACCTCTGCTGACAGAACAGCTGGGACTGCCAGTGTGCATCACCACGCCCAGCTAATTCAGTTATTTATTTTTTATTATTGCAGAAATGAGGTCTCACTATGTTGCCAGGGGTGGCCTCAAACTCCTGGTCTCAAATGATCCTCCCACTTCAGCATTCCAAAGTGCTGGGATTACAGTCCTGGGCCACTGCATCTGGCCTGTTCTTAGGTTTAATTTTATATATTTGACTGAATGCTATGAATACCACTACAAGAAAAGTTTTCATCTGAGATATAATTTATACTGAATTGTGACTATCACAAACCTCCAGGGATAACTAGTCATGCACTATGGCCCTAGGTTTTTTTAAAAATGCGGCTCAGTGAATGACTTTGGAGAAGACGGCAGATGAAAGACCTCCAAAAATTCTTTCTATGAAAAAATGAGAAAACTGGCAACAAATGGTCACCATTACCATTTTGATTTTTACTCATCATTTTTTTAAGAGAAAGGGTCTTGCTCTGTTGCCCAGGCTAGGGTTCTGTGATGCAATCATAGCTCACAGCAACCTCATACTTCTGGACTTAAAGTGATCCTCCCACCTCAGCCTCCTAAATAGCTGGGACTACAGGTGTGCACCACCGTGCTTGGCTAAAGTTTTCATTTTTGTAGAGCGGAGGTCTTGCTATGTTGCCCGGGCTGGTTTTGAACTCTTGGGCTCAAGCAATCCTCCCAAAGTGGTCAGATTGCAGGCATGAGCCACTGCGCCTGGCCCATTAACATTTTTAGACCTCAGGAAATTAGCTAAAAGCTTGTAATAATCCAGAGGATATTCATTCTAGAAAAACAAACAAAAACAAACCAGTGTAATCTCAGAGCAGTGAGTTTCATGGCAGTTTAATTTTTCTTTCTCTTGTCTCCTGCTTGGCAGTTTCACAGTAACCCAGAAAATTAAAGTTCACATTCACGGTGAACACCAGCAACCCGACAGCTACTGGAGGAAGCAGAAGAGCTGGATCTCCCTCAAAGCTTTATTTCCAGGAATTATCACAATTTAAGTGTTTGGTGGTTCTCTGTAACACCTGACTTGCTAGACTGCATTTGATCTGCCTTGGAGCTTGCCCAAGGCAAAAAGCCTTTTCAATCTGGCACGATTATGAAAAACAATGACAGGGGCTGGGTGCAGTGGCTCACGCCAGTAATCCCAGCACTTTGGGAGGCCAAGGCAGGTGGATCACTTGAGGTCAGGAGCTGGAGACCAGCCTGGGCAATGTGATAAAATGACATCTCTACAAAAATTACAAAAATTAGCTGGGTGCAGTAGTGTGCACCTACAGTTCTAGCTACTTGGGAGGCTGAGGCAGGAGAATTACTTGAACCCAGGAGGTGGAAGTTACAGTGAGCTGAGATCACGCCATTGCACTCCAGCCCGGGTGCCAGAAGTAAAACTCTGTCTCAAAGGGGAAAAAAAAAAA